TCAGAAATTGGCATTGACGCATTCAATTCATTTGAGATACTTTTACTCTATCACCAGAAATTTTGGCTTGCCTTCTTTGTTCTGCTACTTTTGCAGTTTTAGGTGACATCTTTCACTTTTTTCTTAATCTGTAATGTTTTTTTAGCTTCTTCACTAATTATGGTTTCTGATATTTCATAACTCTTTGGGCTTTCTATCTCCTGTATCCAGAACTGCAAATCTGTTGTTTAGTTTAATCCAGTAATCTTGTGGAAAATTTTCAATATCATATATTGGAAGGACTCTAATGATCTTTGGCTTCCGAAGCTTTACCTTGATGTTGCATGTCAAAAGCTTGCCATCGCTGCCACAATCAGCTCCTGGTTTAGTCTATGCTGTCAAAACTGCAGATTTGTTCTATGCAGTGATATTATATAAATATTGTACAGATTTCTCATACGTATTAATGGGAAACCAATTAGGAAAAAGAGAGTCATCTTATTTCAGCCAGTAATTGTAAGGGAAACTATTTGTGTACACACTGAGAATGGAAATTGTATAATTTTTTTTAGAACATAATCTAATCCTTTTTGAGATAAGACATATATGGAGGCAGAGAGTTGGCTTATTTTTGCCAGCAAATAAAACATGTATTTATTAGGACAGACTATATAAGTGTTTCACAGATGTGATGCATATTAACACTTCTTTGTAAGAGAAGTAATTTTAGGATACAGGGAGTTGTTTTATTTCAGCCAGAAATAATCCATCGGACTCCTTTTTTTCTGATACATAATTTAAAAACCATACCAATTTTCTGCATAGAACAAAAATAGTGCTTATCAGAGGCAATTTAAGAGGGAGAAAGCAGGTGGGCACCACTTATAAATCCAAACATTACATTTTACGCAAACCAAAAAGCAGAAAAATTTCCACATCCATAAAAGCAGCGTTGTAAAAATGAAGCTCCTTTCACACTGATCCGCTGAATTTTCTCTGTAGGTTTCATGTGGGTTACCAGCATTTTGCCATAGACTTCCATTAGATCAGGTGGTTTTGGTGCATTTTCTGAAAGGGCACCAAAAGTTTTAGCAGCTGGGGCAGAGAAACATGACTGTTTAATGCTACAGCTGGTGTGGTGTGGTGGGGTTGAAAGAATCCGAGTAAGATTGCGGTCTACACTTGCCCCTACTTTGCATGGCCCCATGCAAATCCTCTTCCCCACCAGAGAAGCCACAGAGTAAACCTTTGATACCCCTTTATACTTTCATTCCTACTGCTGGAGGCTGCTGAGAGGAAATTGTTTATAGTAGGGGTAGAGATGGAAGGGGAGAAGCTGGAAGAGGAGTGCAACCCTTTTCCCGATGACTAGCATTATGGTGCTGTTCCCAATGAGCTGCATGTTGAGAGCTCAGATGTCTCTTTATACACATGGCACCCAAATGGACAATGGTATTGCAATGCTTGATATGCTGCAGGCAGAGATCACAAATAACAATGGTGCACACAGTTCTGGGGAGCTGACAATGGAACAACAGTTCCCTTCACCCATGGAGGCCTGCCATTTGGTAGAACAGGGAAGCTTCTCCCTCAATATTCTCTTCAAGATGCCGCTAGATAGCATCCTGTCTCCCTGGGGTTGTGCCTCTCCCTCACTTTCCTCCTTTGCTCTATTTGGCATCTAGGTATGGTCAAAGAATTCATCATCATCCTCTCCCTCCTCATTGGTGGAGTCAACTTATGGTAATATTTTGTGGCTGCAGCAACATCACTTCCAATTAATTCTGTTTGTCTGATGTCCTCTTCCTCAGCCCATTAATTACTGTGCATACTCTTGCAGTAAGTGGCCTACCCTGTACTTAAATAATGCAGACTCCTCTGTGACGGTTGGCAGGACAGCGACAGGTGTAATTGTGGATGAGGTGACAGAGGAGTAAGACATAAAGGCTTGGTTAGCCACTCCACCACCTCCACCCCATGGTCTGACTGTATAGCATGCCCAGAGATATAAAAAAAAAAAACCCAGAAAATGTGCCCTGCCTGCAGATGATGCACTATGATCATCATGATTATAGCTGCATGGGAGCATCTGCCTCTGCCTGTAGACCTGCCAGACATGATGATAATAATATAGGGCTTATTCCCTACTTTTATCGACAGCTATTGGAAGAGCTGTATAGGGGGAAGTGGTTTTTGGGTGCACTGTAAACAGTGGTCAGTGGTGCTTGAGTGCGCTTCAATTTGTGGTACTTTGGTGGACTAAACAGAATCTCAGTAATCTGTGGTTCCCCAGCTGCAAAGGACAGCTGTTGTAGAGACACCAACACCTAACAAAATAAAACCCAAACAAAATAAAGCTCATGCACAAAAGGATATTTAAAAAAATGACCCCAAATACACAAAACAAATCACTCCCCCTAAAAGTAAAAGAACTGCTAGTATAGAAATTCAAAGAAGCAACCCAAAATAAAAAGAGGAGCAGCAATAACATAGAAATAGAACTTGCCATTGACACACAGAAAAAGTAGTCCTTAAGAGCACTGTTGGGTCTTAGGTAAGCATAGTAAATGCAGAAAAGATTACACTCCGCTCTCCCTAACCACACAAGCTGCAGTTCTGTAGTCCATTGACAAATATTAGTAGCAAATAATGTATACAGTATAGGATATAGTACTGTATTTGGAAATAGGTACTGTTGAAAGCACAACGCAGTAGTAACATACTACACTAACCAACTCTTTCTGCTAAAAGCAATGGTGTCCGTTTATGAAACTGAGATCAGCGGTGATCCTGAGGTTCGCCGCTGATCTCAATACCTTAGTGGTTTATGAAACAGAGATGATTAGTGGAGAACATGTTCTCCACTGATAATCTCAGCACACAGAGAATCTGTTATTGACAGAAACAGAAATGGCTGCGATGTCAGCTCTTCACTGGTGAGAAAATTCTCCCTCCCAGGCTCTTCAGCCCAGAAGCAGAGAATCAGGGAAAGAAGAATGAATCCTGGGAGAACTGAGGAGGAAGGAGGAAGATTTTTGACTTACTTTTGTCCTCAATCAGAGCCCCCTAGACAGTGGAAAATCTCCCTTGCCTTTCACAACCCCCGATCGGGTAGAGCAAGTTAGAAGCACAATATACTGTGTATGTATATATATATATAGACAATGATAAATAAAATGATAACACTAACCTTATCCCAACCTTAACCCCTTACCCGAACAAAAAAAAAAAAATAATAATATAATAAATGAATAAAAATTAAAAATAAATAAAAGCTAGCAACAAATGATGCAAGAGATGGTATTTTTCTCTACTGGCCAATAAAAAAAAATGCCAAACCTCATATATATATAATGTGTTTGTGTATGCAGTGTAGTGTACTGGGCGGTCTCCTCTGAGAGAGCCACCAACTAAGCAGTGGTAATTTACCACTGCTCAGTAAACTGTGCGTTTGACTGATCTCTTACTGTACTTTCACTATATCTCATGAGATTACAGTAACAGCAACTGTTTTCTAGAGTTCAAAGTGTTTGTAGATCACTTCACTCCTCTTTAGGAGAAGCAATCTACACCGCTTCATAAACAGGCATTCAGAAGAGAGCTGTCTCCTCTGAGAATGCCAAAGAACTGAGCAGCGATAATTTACCACTGCATGATAATTGGACACCATTGTCAGCTGTCCCTCACTAAACTCCCAACACACTGACAAAGGACTGATGAGAAAGCAACTTTTTATAGTTGCAACTTTTTGCAGGTTGCAACTTAGGTCAAAACCATCACTGTCCAAAGTCTTGCACCAGAAGACTTTGGCCAATGATGGCTTTGGCAATGCATTATGGGACCGTCACCTGAGCAAAAGTTGCCAAAATACTTAGGCTCGGATCCAACACCCAGCTCACAGGCCTAGGTAATAACACCTTTTAAAGTTTAATCTGCAGCCAGCTATAATATTCTAAAAATGCTAAGAAATTCAAATGTTTCTTCCTTGTAACCATTGCAGCTGTGATAACACTATGGGCACAATTATCAGTGGCTTGGTGCCTTCCCTGCAGTATTTCTCCCATTACAACACTGGGACTAACAACTACTCATACTTAGCAATCTTGGTGCATGGTAAGTTTTTGCAATTCATTTTGCTATTTTTGATCTTGAGTCCTTTCTTTGGTTGTACTCAAAAGTGAAGATTTGCTGTCCAAAGCTCACCATATGTAGTACAGTCCTACAGTACAATCTGCTATAGAATTAGCAAAGGAAATAGGTACATCGTCATTATAATATGAAGAACTACCTAAACTATTCAATTCATTCTTATCCATTCAGGCAGGCTCCTGTACTACATAGATGTTCATAGATCTAAAGGAGATTGTATAATTGTAATGTTTGTGTGGAGATTAATTTATAGAGAATAAATACAAAAATGACTTGAGGCAATTCATTAACTTCAGTCTCCATGCTCCCACTTCATCAGTTGTATTATGGGGCTCCTTCACCTCTCATACTGCTTTATGATCGTTACCTCATCAGTCAACAGTTTATCACATCACTGATTGTAAGTGGAGCTGGTCTAATAAGAGGAAGCAAAGTGCTAAAGGGTACATTAGACCTGGGGAAAAAATCAGCTGTAGGGAGTCCACAGGTAATGCTGTGACTAGTTATTTGACTTCTGCTTGCTTTTTTTGGTACAGGTTTTTACATTATGTCTAATTTTAAATTATGTATAGTAAGCCCTGCTTTAGTGCTTCAAGGAAGGGTCTTAAAGCTTGTTAAATGCTGGGTCATTTTGATGCTTTGTAGATTAACAAAGACCAGTAACTCTCCAAGATTTGAAAACTTAGTCAGTTCTGAAATATTTAAGAATTTTAAAATACTGTAGACATTTATTTATCTGCAGTAGTTAAATTGTCTGGATATATAAAAATCAAAGAATATCTTCACTTCTGCTATTAGTGGACAGTAGCTTTAAAATAAATATATCTTGAAAAAAAAAAAATCAAACATCTGTAGAGATCTTTATTCATCTGTCAAAATGTTTTCCAATTGTTCATGCAGCTGATGGCACAGTCAGCAAATTGGGTAATACATTGAATATCCTGGATATCTTCTTTAACTCCATCTACAACAAAAACACTTCCAAGTTATTATAGTTTTGAAAATAGATTATTTCCTACAGTAATTTAATATTTATTTCGCTGAATATGTTCTCACTGCATTAACTCTGACTTAAAAAAAGAAATTTCTATTAATTTATGTATTCCTCACTCAAAAAGTACCTTCTATGGCACTCAGCCTCCTCCAAATCTCCAGATTCCTTTTTTTTTGCGGCTATGATCTGATTTCCTGTTAGGAGGTTTATCATGGTTACACTGAAGGGAATGTAGGAACCTAGCCACCATCTCTTGTTCAGTCTTAAAAAGGACTAGGAACTATGGGATTTGTAGTGTACACATGACCATAACTAATGGGCACTGCTTGTTCCAAGTAAAAGGAAGTGAGGAGCAGAGAAAGGAGAGGACGTTACAAGGAGGCTGAAAATCACAGTAAGAAACAATTTCTTGAAAAATCGACTACAGGGCCAAAGAGTAGTGATTGGTATTGGTGATTGGTGAAGAGTATGGATTATTTTTAGAAATAAGGATATCATTTAATGTCACTTTAAGGGTAATTCTACTTAAAATTTACTTCTCCCTTTTTGCAGAATACTGATAAGTGATCCCATGGTCTTAACTGATGCTACATGTTAATGCAGTACAGCAATAAGTCAAATTAAATCAATTACAGCAATGGTGAAAATCTCTCTACCATTAAATGTATGTCTAGCTAAAATTGGTTTTCTTAGTTTTGGATAGATCAGAGATGCATTAGAACCCTGTCTATTGTTATTGTGCAATCTGGGGCTGCTTTAGATGACAGTGCAGGGCTCGGAGTGCAGAAGTGGTGAATTATAACAGGCAATGCTGCATTTGCTGGGCATCAATGTTTTTTGAGGACAACTCCAGGGACAAGGTAAGAAGGGGAGAGAGAAAAAAAAAAAATAAACGGGAGTTAAAGAAAATACACAGAGCAGCCAATATACATTGCATTTCCCTTGTAGTGTACTGAGACTTTTTTGGTGGTAATATAAAAAACATTATTTCCACCTTGGGTTTAGCAAAGTTTATTACATGCTAGCATATTGTAAATGCCAGAACTGCTTATTAGCCTTAGTCTGGCACTTCCAATAAGTTGTTGACAGTAATCAATGGCTATCATATTAGGCCCTTCTACTATTAAACAAGCAAGGAAGCTAAAAAAAACAACAAAGACAAAAATATATATAAAAAAGAATTGTACCTATAAACTGATAGCTGTTTCTTGGGAAACGGTTTGTTGTGCATTCTTCCAGTCCAGGTAAACACAAAAGGATGACACAATCTGTAATAACAAAGTAAAGTGTTGCTCAATTATGCTTAGACAGATAAAATGATTATTGTTTCTATCAATAGAATATGGATTCCCCTTCTCTCCAACCCTCCACATCACTAATATGCACTAAATGAAGATTTCAGACTGCCTCACCTTTACATGTGTTTATACTGTCTATATTGTATAGCCTACTTTCTTTGCAAATGATGAGAAGTGGTAGGTTGTCTTTAGATTTCTCAAAAGAGTCTGTGGTAGAAAAGTCACCACGTACTCAGTGTTCAGGTTTCCCACCCCTGAAAGGTATGGCACCATTGGCCATCCTTCCCCTGAAAGGGTTTTTGCTAATTATTCCACTACTGAGTTGAGCCAAGGAGCAAGAGTTCTTCATCGAAGAAAAAGTGATCAAATTGTTTCCACTGTAAATGATTTGAGAATATGAGGCTGCCACCTGAATTGTGAAATTAGAGAGACTAATCTACAAAAACTAGCTTGTCATTTGAATTAATGTCCATACAAAAATGAAACCTTAGGTATAGGTGCTCATAATGTAGCTACTTACTGTATTTACTATTTTCCTCATAAACTGGAAGAAATGATCTTTTGGTGAAGAAAGCTGCAAGTGAAAATGAAAATCTTTTAAACGTTGTGCAGGTTCTCAATGCTCTACAAAAAAATATATTAATCTATGACAACCAATTGCATTTAGTTTTCAAAGTCACTTCAATAAATTAGATTCTTGATGGTTTCATGAGTTACTAAAAAAATACACAAGTCTTTCTATGTATTGGTACAGCACATACTTTATATATAATATATCTATAAAAGTTCTCATACAGGATGTAATAATTGTTGCAAAAATGCGTTGTACACATTGATTCTTTCGGATCTCAGGTAACTGCCTGGCTGTGTGGGCAGACAGCTATGCTTATAGTCTGCAGGAGCCTTAGAATGCACCCGCAATCTGCTGATGCAAAGCTCTGCAGGCTCATTAGAAAAAAAATAATAAATGCACATTTTTTTGCCTTTAAAAAACTGTGAATTAATTTTTTTTTTCAAAAGGTGAACGCATCCTTTAAAAAGGTGGATTCTGTGTGTTTTGTTGCCTCTGTTTTGTACTGTTTAAAATTAATAAAAACCATTGAAATACATAAAAAAAAAAAAAAAAAAAAAAAAGGTGGATTCTAAAGCACAGGTAGAAACCCAATTCAGATCCCAGATGAGGGATATTTGTGACCATACTAAATAGCTTTTCTATTAATTCTAGGGACTTAAAAACCCAACATACCATTTACACTGTTAGGACCTTTCAAGGGCATGTTACTAATGGTAAAAAATGTCTGGAATCAGCTGCACTCTTCAGTCTTTATTGATTGTCAGTAAAATCCATATCACAGACAGTGTCAGGGACAAAGAGGTTAAGGCAGGGGTGTCCAAACATTTTTCAAAGAGGGCCAGATTGGATGAAGTGAACATGGTGGAGGGCCGAACATTTTTTCCAAACATTCTTTGAACCATTACAATTAAATGCAAATAAATTATTTTATGCCAAGTTACCGTATTTTTCGCCGTATAAGACGCACCTGACCATAAGACGCACCTAGGTTTTAGAGGCAGAAAACAGGAAAAAAAAAATTCTGAACTAATGGACTGCAGACACAGTACAGGAGATGACCAGAGACTGCGGACAGCACAGGGATGACCAGAGACTGCGGACAGCACAGGGATGACCAGAGACTGCGGACAGCACAGGGATGACCAGAGACTGCGGACAGCACAGGGATGACCAGAGACTGCGGACAGCACAGGGATGACCAGAGACTGCGGACAGCACAGGGATGACAAGAGGCTGCGGACAGCACAGGGATGACCAGAGACTGCGGACAGCACAGGGATGACCAGAGACTGCGGACAGTACAGATGACTGCTGACCTTTGGGGAGGTGGGGAGCGGGTACCTGAATTTGACAGGTACCCGCTCTTACTTCCGCAGTTGTTCTTTGATCTTACCTGTTCCTCGATCCAGCCGCGCGCTGTCTTCCCGGCTTCTGTAATGGCGCTCGGCATGACAGCCGGGTGCCCAGTGCGCATGAGCGAGAAGCACTTGCGCTTTGTGATTGGTCCGGCGGCTTCTGGCATCTGTCATGTGTCCCAGGTACCGCCTTACCATTCACAAAAAGCACCGCTTCTGCGCATGCGCACTTGGCACCCGGCTGTCATGCCCAGCGCCCACACTACAGAAGCCGGGAAGACAGCGCGCCGCTGGATAGAGGAACAGGTAAGGTCCCGCTGCAGAGCTGAGCGGCCGGCCCGGTATTCTGACACGGCCGCGGTGGAAATACCGGACCGGCCGCTCCATATTCGCTCCATAAGAAACACTGACACACTGACATGGAGGGCCGTATTAAACCGACCCTCGGGCCGTAAATGGCCTGCGGGCCGGACTTTGGACATGCCTGGGTTAAGGCGTTTCATGCTGAAAACTAGCGCTAATTCATAACCAGTGAGTGGTCCCTGACACTGTTTGTGATATGGATTTTACTGACAATCAATAAAGACTGAAGAGTGCAGCGGATTCCGGATATTTTTTGCCTTGCAGTTCCACAGACGAGCTGTGCTAGCACCTTCACTCTAATGGTCGGTGGATGATTCACACTACTCACCTGGAGCAGCTTTGTGGTGTTTGGCATGTTACTCATGGCTAAAGGGAAATTTCTGCCTGGTTTATACACTATATACTACTCTCAATCGCTCTACAATATATATTCCCTCCCCAACCCTTCAAAAGTATCTGGCATCATACAGTTTGCCATAATTGTCCTAAAAGACGCCTGGTGTGGATGATTTATATATGAATGCTATAAACAATGTGTCCCCCTTCTGCTTCCTAAATTAGGTAAATTGTTTCAATCCTTCATAAAAGGACACCCTACCCTGTCCACTATTCTTTAATCCCAAATGTCAGTCAGTTTAAAAGAGGGGAAGGACCTTCAGGACTGTAGAAGCTATTGTCCCCATAAATCTCTTAAAAACTGACCTATAACTTTTCAACAAACTATGGCCAATTAATTTCATGGGTCCTCCAATCCCTCATACATCCCCACCAGGTTGGGTTTGCACCCAGTTTGTATGCATGGGACAATACCCAAGGAGCTATCAAATTGGTGGATTATGCAAATGCTCGGAAGCTATCCATGGTCCTTCTCAACTTTCATGGGCAGAAAGCCTTCAATAGACTATATTGATATTTTATGTTCTCTACCCTGCATACAAAGGGTTTTGCTGAGAAGTGTACACAATCTCTACTCTCCCATTTGGTAACAACAGGCCTTTTTGCAATATTTAAGGATACTAATCAGGTTTATCCTCTTACCCCCTATTATTTGCTCTTTTTACTGAACCCCGTCTGCCACATTCCTCTCTCTAATCTATATCAATAATTGCATTGCCTCTTTTCAGACTATAACGTAAATGAAGACAAGTCATCTCTACCTCTATATGTGGTAGGATGCCAACTCCACCAACTCAAATTAAACTTTCCCTTTTAAAGACAAGGAGACTCTATCAAATATCTGGGTACATTTATGACAGTTTCTAATTGCAGTCCTCATGATTGAAATTTCCCTTCTTTGTTTGATAAAATCCATCCAGTCTATTGGTTATTGCCATGAGCAATGTTTAAATGTATTTGGGACCATAAGAGACCTAGAATTGGCCGAAATATTCTCCAAGCTCAAGTTTCCTAGGGGGTCTTTCAGTTTCCAATTTACATGAGTATTATTATGTAGCTCACCTTTGTCAATGAATTGGGTAGTCCAAGACATCACCCTAAGCTCATTGGGCTCAAATTGAATTTGCACTTTTTTTTTTATCCTTCCCACCACTATTGAGGTCTTCTAGGTCTCCTTCCCCACTTGTACTGGACACTATGTAGACCTTGTATAATATATGGTCCTACTGTGCTAGGAAACGATATCTTCCTACCACCCCTTCATTTTGTATTTCAGTAGTAGGTAACACTGTTTTTCCAACTAGTATGTCCTCTACCCATCACCAACACTGGTTATCCCATGGTGTGTGATTTGTGACAGATGTGCTCAACCCTTTTTTAAATTCTCTTTTGGACTTTGATCATCTTGGTTGAATTTAAATCAGTGTATAGCCAGCTTGAACAAAACTCAGCTTACAATTTTCCTGTCTGACTAAAGAATGCATTAATGCAGTCCAGCAGAATCTCTTATGAATGTGCTGAACAACATTCATAAAAGCAGGGTTTATCATCCATTAACAGCCACACCAGAGACACAACCTGCTACATGCTAATTGGAAGAAACAATTCATCAGTGCAAGAGTTAACATGTTCAGCCTGCTCAGATCTAAAACAGTGGCTGAATTTCAACAAATTAAACACTGCCTCAATCAACAAGAGTGAGCCACTCAAATGCATTCCAACAACTGTTCACTAGCTTGTTCCTGTAATATCTGATGGCAATATTCCCCTTTCTCTGTTGCTAGCAACACAAAGTAAAATACCCAATATGGATGCACACTAGAACAACATGCAAACATGTGTAAACAGTCAAATTACAGATTTCCTGTGCAGCCAATCTACTTGTTACTGGCCTCAACATTATACTATGACATCACATGCCGGTACCCTGTGGGGAAGATTTGACCACATATGTGTGGCTACACAGAGGGCTGACTTCCAAACTAGGTGAATTAAGATTTAGGAACACACACAAATGATAAAAAAACAACATAAACATAACAAAGCAGCAAGAGGAATCAGGAATAAAGCAGAAAGCATATGAAACAGCAGGTAAGGTGGGTTGGGGGCCAGAATAGTGATCAGGTACACAGAATCAGGTACAGATAGCAGGGACTGAAGGATTATGTGATGAACTAGGAGCTCAGATTGAGAGAGCACACGGAGGCAGATCACACGAACCCCGATGGGCGGGCGTTTATTGGGGAACTTGGGGTAAAGGCAATAGCAAAACTAGTCCATAGCAGGACAGAGCAATGTAGAATGATTCCTGGGATGGCCCTATGGGGCAGCAGAGGGCAGAGAGTCCACAGGGCAAACCGGGGATAACACCGAGGGCACAGCAGGGAGGTAAGTCCTCGGCTTAGGCAGGGCACGGGGGTTAACTCCTGGAGCAAAGGTCTCGGGAAGAACGAGGTTAAATCCAGCATATACAGCAAAGGGTTCCAGGCAGAACAGGGTTCAGTTCCGCACACAGGGCAAAGGGTTCCAGGCAGAACAGGGTTAAGTCCAGCACACAGGGCAAAGGGTTCCGGGCAGAACAGGGTTAAGTCCAGCACACAGGGCAAAGGCTTCTAGGCAGAACAGGGTTAAATCCAGCACAAAGGGCAAAGGGTTCTGGGCAGAACAGGGTTAAGTCCAGCACACAGGGCAGAGGGTTTGCTGCCTATTCAAGTTCTCACTTAGTGTATTGATGCTAGCCAATTTCTACCAAATACACACCTAAAGTATATAGGATGAAAATTATGGAAATAATTGGGGTATGGGAATGGGAGGAGATACGGTAAATTTGGGGTTGTGGTTTTTAAGTGTTTTCGTGTTTTGAAATTGTATTAAACTTCTAAGAGA